AAGTTACAGGGAGAGCAGTGGGATAGAGATCACCCATTTACTTTAAGCAGATGATTCATTGGTATTCTGTGATGCTGATATTGATCAGGTCAAACATCTGAGAGCTATTCTGGTGATTTTTGAGGCAGTTTCCGGACTTCACATCAGCTGGCATAAGAGCAGTTTATTCCCGGTTAATAAAGTGGACAATATTCAAGCACTTGCAGGTATTCTGGGATGTGTGGTGGGTTCCCTACCTACTACCTATTTGGGGCTAACTTTGGGTGCTAAAAGTAAAGCCTTGCAGATTTGGAGTGGTGTCATAGAAAGGTCTGAAAAGAGGCTTGCAATATGGAAAGGACAATACTTATCTCTAGGTGGTAGGGTTATATTAGTCAATAGTGTTTTGGATGCCCTTCCTACTTATGTCATGTCTATTTTTCCTTTACCTAGCAAGGTTAGGAAAAGAATTGACAAGATCAGAAGGAATTTCATATGGCAAGGACACAAGAAAAAAAGAGCATTCCACCTGGTTAATTGGGATGTTCTTATCAAATCCAGAAAAGATGGTGGCCTTGGCATCAGGAACCTAAATGCTCACAACCAAAGTTTGCTAATGAAGTGATTATGGAGGTATAATCTTGAAACATATGCTTTATGGAGAAATGTCATTCATGACGAGTATGGTCAAGAAGACCAGTGGTGTTCAAAAGTGGTTGTGAGCCCCCATGGTGTAGGAGTCTGGAAAGCAATCAGATCCCTCTGGTCTTTGATGGCTGGAAAAATTAGCCTAAGAGTGGGCAATGGTAGGAAAATCCTTTTTAGGTGTGATAACTGGCTTGGACATGGACCTCTAAAGGAACTCTTCCCTGAATTCTTTAGCATTGCCACTATGCCAAACATTAGCCTGGAATCAGCAAAAGGAGTACATGGATGGAATATTACTTTTAGAAGACTACTGCATGATTGGGAGTTGGAAAGAGTTGTTGAATTTTTCAAGACCTTGGAATCATTCCAAGGGTTCAAAGACACTGAAGATTCACTTATATGGAAGCCCACTTGTAAAGGAACTTATTCTGTAAACTTAGCTAATAACATTTTTTTTTTTTTTTTTTTGATTTGCACCGGGTGTCCGAGTCTCTTTGAGCCCCGACTAATCCCGGGGGTGCACAGGCCCTCGGCAAGGAGTTTCCCGCAAGTGCACCACGGTTAATTCAGGTTTTACCCAGTCTGATGGCCCTCAGAAATTGTTTGCACCTAGTGGGTTTCGAACTTGAGACCTTGAAAGGGAGCAAACCCCAAGGCTCAAGTCAATTGCCAGCAGGCCAACCCCTGAGGGTTAGCTAATAACATTTTGATTAGGCACAGACAGTCAACTAATCAGTGGCCATGGAGATCCATTTGGAAGATGAAGGCTCCTTTTAAGGTGGTATGCTTTTCTTGGCTAGTAGCAAGAAATGCTTGTCTCACACATGATAAACTTCAAAGAAGGGGATTCCAACTGTGTTCTAGATGCTTTTTGTGTGGAGCTGCTGGGGAAAATAATAGCCATCTATTCATTCATTGTCCCGTTACTGGACAATTATGGCAACTATTTTTGAATATGGCAGGAATCAGATGGTCAATGCCAGCAACAAGTGTTGATTTGCTGAAATGTTGGAACTAGAATGATGGGGCAGTTGGTGGAAACTTGTCCCTGCTTGCATATGGTGGACCATTTGGAAAGAGAGGAACTATAGAGCTTTTGAAGACATATATAATTTTGTGGAGAAAATCAAGATGAATTGTATATTTTTGTTTTATTTTTGGTGTAAAGAAAGCTATGCTGAGGAGGATGAATCACTAGTTGATATGATAGGATCCTTGTGAAGCAGTAGCCTAAGCTTGGTTGGGATTTTGTGAAGTCTTTTGCACTGTTATGGTGTAATTTTTTTTTAAAAAAAATAAAATGTATATATATATAGTTACCAATTTCAAAAAGATGGAAGGCTCAATATTTGTCTCTAGGAGTCAGTCATCAATTCAGTGCTAGACTTCCTTCCTAATTATGTCATGTCACTATTTCCATTACCCACCAAAGTTTTGAAGAAACTGGACAGATTAAGGAGGAACTTCCTTTGGCATGGATGCAAAGAAATTAAAGGTTATAACCTTGTCAAATGGGAGATAACCTTGAACAGTAGAGACAAAGGGGTTATGGGTATTAGAGATTTGAGTTAACAAAACAATAGTCTTTTGATGAAGTGGTTATGGAGATATAATGAAGAGGGGCAACCCTTATGGAAGGATGTCATCAGATCCAAGTATGGTGAGTACAATCTTTGGTGCAGTAATGTTAGTGTTGATGCCTATGGGGCGGGGATCTGGAGAATTATCAGAAACTAATGGCAAAAACTTGATGCTAATATGTACATTGAAGTGGGAGATGGCAGGAAAACTAAGTCTTAGGCAGACTCGTGGAACAAACAAATCACTCTATAAGAATCCTTTCCAGGTATATTCTTACAATGTAGTAATCCAGATGCAAATATCAATGAATGTTGGACAGCACAAGGGTGGAATCTGATCTTTAGAAGGTTTTTGAATGACTGGGAAGTAAAGCGAGTGGCCAAATTGCTAGAGCTGTTAGAAAAATTCTCTGGCACCACTAATTCTCCTGCTTCTTTGAGATGGAAACATAGTAAAGATGGGGCTATCACTGTTAGCAGGGCATACAACTTGGAAAGCCCCTAGCAAAGCATCTATAAACAGAGTTTGTGGAGAAAGGTATGGAGAACCTTAGCACCAACTAAGATAAAATGCTTTACATGGTTGGTTGCAAGAAGGGCTTGCCTTACACATGAAGCGTCGAAGAAAAAAGGAAAGATTATAGTACCTTGGTGTTTATTATGCGGGAAGGCAAAGGAGACCACCAAGCATCTACTCTTGCATTGCAACTTTACAACACAAACTAGGGTCATCTTCCTTGGTCTCACAGAGACGAATTGGACCATGCCTGAGCACACTGCAGACTTATGGAGTAGCTGGATAAGAAGAGGGGGGAGCAAGAGCCAGAAGGCATGGTTGAGGATAATTCCATATTGCATTTGGTGGACATTTTGGAAAGAAAGAAACAGTAGAAACTTTGAAGATAGGTCCAATTCAATTGAGAAAGTTAAAGGGAATTGTATTGTATCTTTTTATTTTTGGTGTAAAGAGAAAGATTTAGAGGAAACAGAACAGATTGTAGAATTATTAGGATCCTTGCAAGTATTTTTTTCTCTGTTTTTGTTCCCTCTGTTTTTTGAAGGTCACCAACATATCCTTAATGCTAAAGAATACAACATTACTATTTTAAATTAAAAAATTCTCAAGAAACACCAAGTTAGGATTCTTCTTTCAAGGTTTTTCATCAAGTTTCGTCACTAAAGTATGTAAGGCTTCAATGGGAGTATCATTTCACTCTCATGCCTAAGTCGTATGTTCTTTCAAAGATTTTTACAGAATTTCTAGAATCCAAATTAGGGTTTCTACTCAATTAATGAAATTTCATCATAAGCTCCTGTTCTTGATCGTATTACTCAGTTTTTATAAATCTCATTGGTCCAAAGGGCGGGTCACAGATGGATTTCTCGGTTATCAAAAAAAAAAAATCTAACATGGCTACGGTTTTTTTTTAACCTCAATAATTTTTAAGCATGAAATTAGCATGATACAAATTTCAGTTTCCATACAAATTATTTGAAATATGATTTTCAGCTTAGTTACACACTTGATACAGACAGATAGATAGTTCACCTATTTATGAGCATATCAGTATTTGTATATTATTTTGGGAGGATTATTTAACACCAAGAGGTCGTGAGTTCAGAAAACCCAAGACCCATAACTATGTGCCACTATAGAATTTTGAGCATATCACTAGTCGATCAACTCCTTTAGCCCAAGAGGCTCAGTTAGTGGATCCACATCAGATAGATAGGTCCTACACCCTGACATGGTATAGGAAAGCCCTTCCAAATGGATTATAAGTTGGACAACATAAGCTCATATGGTATATGTCGATTGTAAGAAACTCCCCATAAAAAGTAACATTATGTTCATAAACTTAAATTATCATCAGCATTCTTCTCAAATACGATAGTTTAGATCTAATTCAACTCAGGGCTACAGAAACAACCGTTATATAATTGAAAGCAAGTTCTCAAATGATATTTATACACTGGTTTTAGGATGTCTTTCATTATATCACTATATTTATGATTATGATTATTGAATACTCATTAGTTCTTACTACATGTTGCCACCCGAAATGATTATGTTTAGTCTCACCTTATATACTCAGCACATTCCACGTACTGGCTGCATACTTTTCTCTGCAAAGCATCCTATTATGATGTAGATTTAGATGTTCGCTCTCACACTAGTGGCTAGACAGGTTGCAGTTTTTCCCGTCAGTAGTTGATGAGTCAACTTCATTTGGTAACTTCATGGAGCAGTCAGTAACTAAGTTTTATGTAAGGACAGTTATTTTCTTTGAGGTAGCTAGGGATCATGTCCTGACAAACTTATTTCTTCTTTCACTCCAATTAGTAGAGGTTCCACTTCAGACATTAGTTGTTCAGTTCCATGCATTTTATTCAGATATATGTTAAGTATTTCCTTCAGTTAATTATGTTTTAGCTTCCACTTGCACTTCATAAAATGTCAGTTAAGTTATTAGCAAAATGTCAGTACCACGGGTCCGCTAAGCGTCATTCGTGATTCTAAGTGCCGGCCACAACTAGGGTGTAGACTCGGATCGTGACAATTTTATACTTCAAGGACAAGCATAAAGAATACTGATCACTTTCGTCTTAATCTTTAATTTAAAAAAAAAAAGGAATAAAGCATCTGTGAATATTCAAATAGTCTTTCTTGCTATCAAAGTTTAAAAAAATATATGGAAGTAAATTGTGTTAACAGTGAATTTCCAGTATGTAGACCAAATAAACCAAGAATATTCTGTTAAAACAATCAAAAAGAAGAGAAACCTCATGCACCTGTATGTACAGTGACCCGAGCCAGATTCCCAACCGTAATTTTATAATCAACATTGAATCTATTGATCCCAGAAAGAAAAGCCACGCTCTCTCATAACTTTTCTCATTTCAGGTTTTTTATGGAAATCCCTTTCTTTATCAGTTTTTTCAAATTTGACCACCTTTTTGTTCTCCTGATGACATGTTACTTTATTCTCTTGAGAATCTCTCCTGCCAGCCACCCAAGCTTGAAGCATTTCATCTATCTTGGGCTCCGGCAGTAAACCTTTTTGCTTCATTTCTTGATAGTATTTGTACGACTCCTCCAGCTTCCCATTCAAAAAGAGTCCATGTATCAGCACTATATATGAACTTCGATCATGGTCCAAGCCGATCTTGCTCATCTTATCCCACAACATGAAAACATTATCAAGTTGGCACCATCGGCAAAACTTCCGGATTAACATTATATAAGTGTCATGAGTTGGAATACATCCCATCGTGTTCATCTTCTGCAAGTGCTCGAACACTTCTTCCCCTGTCCTCAGGCTACGAAGCAATGCATGGTAAGTTCGGACAGTAGGATGTATGCCTCGTTGAATCATTTCATTGAAGATCTCTTGAGCTTCATCTAGTAATTGAGCTTTGCAGAGAGGCATGATTAATGAGTTATAAGTAACAGCGTTTGGAGCGAGATCATTCTCTTCCATCATCGTCATCACACTCCTAGCTTGTTTAACCAACCTGCCTTTTGCAAGAGCATGAATGACAGCATTATAAACCTTAACATCAGGTGCAACCCCATACAATTTCATCTCATCGAAAAGCTTAAGCACAACATTGAGTCTACCAGCCCTCGAATAGCAAGACATGATACTACAATACGAAAAAACATCACGGGGAATCCCTTTTTCCTTCATCAACCTCCAAATCCTCTTTCCCTCACTTAAATCATCAAGGGCAAGACACCATCCATTTAGAATGATATTCAAACTCTTGGTATTCAACGGGAAAACATTCTTATTGCAAAAAAGCAAGTGCTCGGCATCTTTTACATTTTTGTAGCGAGCAAGGGCAGACAAAAGGTCTTGAAATTCTTCCATTCCAATATCTAAATTAAACCGTTTAAATGCATAAAAAGTACTGATAGCTTTTCCGACGTCATGTACAGCACAGTATTTCCTTATCATGATCAAGAGTGTCAGAGAATTCACAAGAGATGGTCTATCTTTACCACCTCTCATTTCCTCAACGAGTGACCATGCAGTGTCAAACTTCCTCATTTTTCCAAGTATAGATATCATAGAATGGTATTGACGCACAGAGTGCACATAACCTGTTTGTTTACTGGCCCATATGAAGAAAGTGAATGCAACTTCCCAATTATTTCGTGCACGAGAAAGAATGACAGTAACTAGATTGTGTGTGGGCCTTACACCACATTGCTCAAGTTTGTTATGCACATGGGTTCCGGGTTGTTTGAAAATGGCCTCAATTGTTTCAACATCTTCTTTGGAAAAATCAGAATATAGTTCGTTATAATCTAGTGAAGGGTCAGTATCAGCAGTATCTTCATGTTCATAATCACTGCCATCATGTGAATTGCTTGAGGAAGTAAAAGTAGAGAACCTGATTCCAGAAGTAGACCTTGAGAGAGCACCATGTAGGAAACTAGCATGGGGAAGGAAAACACCACTGGTGGATCGAAGAAGAAAAGATGGCAAATTGGGAGTGAGATGACCACGAAGGAACAAGGAAATTACAAGTCTATATTTCATCATCAAACTGTTCGACCAAATGACTGAAAGAAATTTTTTCGTTGCCCTAATGCTGAACGCTGCGCTCCCCTTTCTCCCCAACCACTACTTTTTCCTTTTTTATTTTTTCACTTCTTTTTTCCATTTTAAAGACCTATTTTATCTTTCAGGGGTCGTTTGGTTTGAATATGAGTTGTGATGGGATAAGTTATGTTGGGATAAGTTATGTTGGGATTAGTTATGATGGATAAGTTGTCCTGGGATTATTTCTTATTGAGTGTTTGGTTTGTTATATTCAAAATAATATATATTGATAAATTTTAAGAACAAGTTGTTTGTTTACAAAATTACCCTTCACTTTATTTAAACTTTTTAATTTTTTCTTTGTGAGCTTTAGTTATTCATTTTTTAAAATAAAACTTTTATTTTTTTTTAACTTAAATATTTTTGTTTATGTATTCCCATGATAAGTACCATGTGTATTTAAAAATATAACTTTTTTCTTATTTAGCTTAAAAATAGAACTTTCCTCTTAAGTTTATTAAAGAGAAGAAAATTTATGAGATATCAAAATAAAATAAACATAAGAATTAGTCAAATAAATTCATAAATAAAAATTATATTTATATAGTATAATTTTTTAATAGAAAAATATGTATAATTATCATAAAAATAAGGAGTAGTAAATATTATTATACATGGTATTAAAAAAATGTAAATATACATAAATGTAAAAAATGATACATAAAAAGGATTTAAAGGGACATAGTTGTCATTTACCTATTCTATCTCGGGATAAGTTATCCCGGGATTACTATACCACCCATGGGGAGGGATAACTTATCCCGGTACTAATTATTAATCCCGGGATAAGTTATCCCGGACTTGCCAACCAAACAACATAATTTTTTATTTATCCCATCACTATTTCCTTATCCCATCACTATTATTTCTAATCCCTCACACCAAACGAGCCCTCAGAGTTTAAAGAAAAGTATGTAAGTTTTAAAAAAAGAAAAGTTTTAAAGCATTTTTGTAATGTCTCAGTAATATAAAAATAATTTTAACGTATTTGTTTTAAGTGAAAATAACTTTTAAAGTCAAAAGTTATAAGTTAGGATACATTAAGAGCATGTTTGGATTGATTGGAAACAATGAAAACAATGATTTTTTAAAAGTGCTGAAACTTTTTTTAAAAAAGAACAATTAGGTGTTTGAATAGAAGTGTTGAACTGAAAAAAAGTTGATCATGTGTTTGATCCATAAGCATTGTTATACATTTTTTTGTTAGAATACTCTTAAAATTGTTAAACATTATAAAATGATAATTATAAATTTTTACTTTTCAACTTCATTATAAATTAATTTATTTGTGTAAGCTATTTTTAATTTTAAAAGAAAAAGGAAAAATATACCCTCAAACTATCGTAAATGATATGCAGATACTCTACGTCATACTTTTGGGACATAAGTGCCTCTGTCATCCAAAAACTAGAGCATATATGCCCTTTAGTCTAACGGAAGACCAAATAGGGACACGTGACACAATCTTATCCGTCGATCTGATATTTAATAAATGCCGGATCGGTGGATGAGATTATGACACATGTATGTCCGTTAGTATAAAGGGCATATATGCTCTAGTTTTTAGACGACATGGGCACCAATGTCTCAAAAGTATGACGGAGAGTATCTGCATACCATTGGGCATATTTGTCTTTTTCCCTTTTAAAAATATATAATTTTGATAAGGGGAAAGGGTCTGATATACCCCTTAACTTTGACATTTAGAGATGATATACTCTTCGTTATGAAAGTGACTCATATATACCCTTACCGTTATACAAATGACTCACATATACCCTTACAGTTATAAAAGGAGCTCACATTACCTTTCATCTAATGGAAGTGAAAAAATTAGTTTTAAATTTATTTTTTTGACTTTCAATTTTTAAAAAGTCCATGTAGGGGTATATATATGATCCTTCTAGCAAAGTTCAAGGTATATTTTAATCTTTTTTCATACAAAAATTATTTTTTGACTTCTTTGATTATCATTATTCGAGTTTCTCATTATTTTTTTCTTTCATTCTTTAGTGTATGGAAAAAATTTAAAACTAATTTTTGTACGGCTATATTGTAATTTAGTTTTGTATTTGTAAAAAAAAAAGGCATCTATAATAAATTTCACAAGAAAATTAGTGAAACATAAATAAATTTGACCATCAAAATAATATATTTAAATTAGTCGTTGGAACAAAAAAGTAAAAAAAAATATGTGTTAGGAAGATCAAATATACCCCATATTGATTATTGTTTTCTCAAAAAAATAATTAAAAAAAACTAAATTAAAATTAACTTTTTCACTTCCGTTAGAGAAAAGAGTATATGTGAACCATTTGTATAACAATAGGGGTATATATGAGCCACTTTCATAACGAGGGATATATCAGCTCTTCATAACAAAGTTGAGGGGTATATCAGACCATTTTCCCTTTTGATAAAGCACATGAACAATTTGAAATATTTTTTCAATTGTATTTATAAATGACAATGATTATATTTCCTCTTTACCACAAATAATTTATACGGAAAAAAATGGACGACATAATATAGAGAAAAAAAAAGAGCCAGAGGAGGAAAAAAGAAAGAAAAGAAAGAGCAAAGAAAAAGTAGGTGGAAGATAATATGAGAGTTATAAAAAATATTGGTAATACAAAAGTAAAATTATTGGTCAAACATAAATGACTTTTAAACCAAAAAAAAAAAAGAGTAGGGGGGCCAACTTTTAAATTTTGACTTTTAAAAGTAAATTTTAACTTATTTTAAACACTTTTTGGATTTGTCAAACATTCCAAAAAGTTTTAAAAAAAATAGAAGCTTAAAAGCTTATTTGACCAGTTTCGAAGCCAATTCAAACAACTTCTTAATCTGAACTTATTGATTATGCTTATAAGTCGTAAGTTATAAGCTCATCTAAACACACTCTAAGGGGTCGTTTGGTAGAGTGTATTGGAGAAAATAATGCACGCATTAACTTTGTGTATTACTAGTTGTTTGGTACACTTTTTCTACATATGTATAATTAATGTATTTATTAGTAATACACTCTATTGTGTATTTAGGAGTGTATTACTAATACCATGAATTTCTATGCATTAGTAATGCAATGAGTTCTAATGCATGCATTAGCATTGTTAGATACATAATTGTCCCTCAAAAACTTTTCCACATCCTTTCTATTATATTAGTGTAAGGTATTTTTGTAAACATATACTTTTTTAATTTTTTTTAGCAATGCATGATATTTTTAGAACACCAAACCAAACACTGCATAAGAAAAATCTCAGCATAACTAATGTAGGTATAACTAATACAATCACTATTAATGCAAAGATTACTAATACACTATATTTTGCATTATTCTTACACTCTATCAAACAACTCCTAAGCATTTTGTTCTCTATTAATTGTCACAAAATCAAAGAATTTTGTGTACTTTGTCTGGTTCATGTTATATGATGTTCTAAGTTTTGTACCCCTTAAAAAATTATTCAGCCCTAGAAAATAATATATGTTTTTTCTACTAAAGTATCACTAATTAAATAGTATCAATTTAATATGATTTCTTAAGTATGTAAAAAATTACTTATTTGATCAGGGCAAATTAAGGAAATAAAGCAATTAATATTTTATTGATTGTGTAAAAAATAGTTATTTTGGGTCAAACATAAAAGCGAAAAAATCATATAACATGGATTTAAGGGAGTAGTAATCTTTTGTGTAAGCGATAACACTCAATTATACCTCGCAATTGAGGTATAAACAATCGTTTGCAAAAATAATACCCAATTTAGGAGTCGTGGTCGAACTACAAAGACTAATAGAAAGAAATACATTCTAATTTATTGTCAATTCAACACTAACTAGCACAATATCTTAAATCGAGAATGTAAAACTGGGGGGGGGGGGTGGGGGATTTGGAAAACACAATCTTCAATTTAAATTTCAAGTAACACGATCAAGAGGTCAACACAACAAATATTTCAATAAGATGAAAACGACTAGGGGCCGGTGTGTGCAATAGTGATGGAGTTTCAATCTATAGACAATTATTCATCAATTCCAAATCAATCGATACATGAATAACCTTTTGTCTATACTATATCCAATATTCTCTCGAACTCATGAATATGTATATCTTGGGTTCTTTTGAACTCCAAGACCATGCAAATAAAACACGTACCAAACATTGCTTGAATGGGTTAGACTATCTCTAGATCTACCCTCAAATGAGAAATCAATTAGATTAGACTATCTCTAGCTCTAATTCAATGATCAATTTAGTTAGTCCTCGCTAATGAAGTTTTATCCAATCTTTTTTTGCTCTCTCAAGCGAATTAGAGTTGAAAATTTTAACCAATGTTTGCAACCGCTGATATTTAGATTAAAACTTCAAGACAACAATAGATCCATGCAATACGATTGATTTTAGAATTATTTAATCAATACCCATTAAGATTTACACCCACATCATGCACACGCCCTCTAGCTAAAAATTTAGCTATTCATAAATAAGAAAATCGAAGATATACCAACAAAGGAATATTCCATTTCATTCATCAATGATTACCAAATTCAGATCCAAGCTTGGATAAATGCATTATTGATTTTCTTGTTGAGCATACAAATATTCTGTAATGTCTATTTTCTATCTTTAACTTTGCAATAATGAAAACTTCTTAGACTATCCTCATTTGAGAAGAAAATAATAGTACACAATTACATATATTCCTATTTTTTCCCTTAATATCTTCCAAAGAAAGTATCTTCACCATCAAGTACATTTTTGCCTCTCAACTTCTGTATCTCACTTTTGTTGCACCGACAAAACGCCAATGTAGAAGCATCCAACATCGATTGAGACACCATTTTTCTGTTTCATTCCAGCGATATCTGGATTTGAACCGACGGAACACTGATACACTTTCGTCAGACATCAATGCTTCTAGATAATTTCT